GGGTTGATATGTAAATATAGTTTTTGCATTTGCTCAAATTGAAAAAACAACAACAACAAACATAACCCTTAAACCCTCCTTTTAATGACTTAATGATACCAAAACAGCAAATGTGCAGGAGATAAACCATTCAAAACATTTAAAGGTGGGTGGGGGTGCTATACCAAAACCAAGTAACAATATTACCTTTAGTTGTTATGAAAATGCTGTATATATAAAAAATAAATTTGACGCTGCATCATATCTATCTAAAAGCCTTGAAATTGACCTCTGTCCATGTAAGAACCTTCTACCATTTCTAACATTCCCACTTCAGCACATCTTCACAACTATACTTTGGGAGAGGGGGCCTCTGAGGGGTGGGAGCTCGGCTGCAGACTGAGCTCTAGGGAGATGATTTGTGTAAATAGGCGGTGCTTTGTACCAGCAAACGTTTAAACAGTTCCACATGGCTACCAAAGGAGATTCAAGGATTTTTCAAACATCCATGAATGAGTCAAAGTAACACTCTGGTTATGCTTTTGATGAGAATGGCAACATCATATAAAGCTCAAAAATGTTGATTTTGCATAATACCACCATTTATTGCATTTTTATTTGTTTACAGCTGGTTGAATTGTAAAATGTATAAAATATAAGTGTTCTATTAGATTAATTTATTCTTCTTCATCTTTGTCAATTTATATTTCATTTGTGTTTGAGGGATTTATCTCTGCTGTGAAAAAAACTCGTTAAAAATTTCCTTGTGGAAATGTTTATTTTTAGACACACAAGTAATCTTTCTCATGCATTATGAATGTATGCTGCTGAAATAAAGAATTCTGAACAGAGCCGTGTGTGAGGAGGATGCCTGTTGGCTGGCTGAGGACTACACGCTCTTAGATCTCCTTTTTTTTCTTCTCTTTTCTTCTCATTACAGGGTTTCTGTCCTTGAATCTAGACGGTGATGCTTGTAATGATGCTGCAGCAAACAGCCTCACTGTCAGATCTGTTCGTCAGCTTCAGCGTGTGGAAATGGTGGAGGGCTGTCCGGAGGAGGTGGGGTCTGTCCGATGTGTTGACTGCCTGATGGAGAGAAGAGGGGCACAGCAAAGTGAGAATGAAACGACACAGAGTGCTGTGCAGATCAGGACTGCAGACATGGAGCTGCAGCAGCACAGATGCTTAAATGTTAAATGAGTCTAATGTTTAGAAAGGCTGCAGCAGAAAAGGCTTCCATCGAGGTAAGGCACTTAAACATCAACAAAGAAGCGTACACACTGTTATATTTATAGATACTCGCATTTTAATTTTTCAGTGAAAGTATGTCGCAAGACTTTTGAGTCTTGCTGCAGATTGTTCAGAATGTTATTTTCTTCTATTCTACTAAAATTATTTATGGTTTCCTTTTTTAAATTCCTCCGGTATTCTACCTGTCTACCGTCATACATTACATTTTTTTGTATCAGTTGCGTTTAATATGTGATCTATCCTCTCATTCTCTCCAGGTTTGTCCCAAATTAAATCACAAGTTTATTTGTGAAATCAACACTATGTGATTAAACGACGTGACTTTGCTGTTGAGTTTACAGAGCAGACCTTCACAATGGGATTCCTCAGGACCATTTTCCTCCTTCACCCTTTCTTTTTGGCTCTATTACGTCATGTCACAGCTTTAAATGGAGAAAATGCCAGTGAAACACAACAGGCAGACACTGACAGAGTTACACCGTTTCTTACACAATCCTCATATGAACCTCATGGATCAAGTGTGACACAAGAGAAGCCCATGTTTGGACCAGAGAATGTCAATGTCCAGGGTCAGCCTTTGAGTTGGACCTTAATGTCATCTGAAGATACAGACAGACAAGGCGTGCTCGGTGAATACAGTGAGGAGAGCACTGAGGCACCTTTTTCATATCTGGATGAAGGACTTCTATCGAAACACATAAAGACGGAGGTTGCTACTAGCAGTGTGCAAGCATCAAGGTCTTCATCAGGACCTGTGCCACAGAATCCTATCCAAGAACAAATTCGTAATTTGTCAGCCGAGATCAGAATTGTGTCTGTTCTGCAGCCCACACAGAGTGAAGAGAATGAACCAACATCTATCCCACTGCAGGAACAGGTGACAGAGAGCCATTTACCTCTTCTTCTGTCTGGCTTAGTTCCACCGCACAAACCCGAGCAGAAGTCATCGCCTTCAGAGTCAGATGTTCCCAAACCTAACCCTGAAGGTTATGCTCCATCAGCAGGTACAGACGGATGGCCTAAAGGCATGTCTGTTTCCAAAGGGGAAAAGCAAAATGGACTGGATGATGTTACAGATATTTTACACAGAGGAATCATCAGCACAGCTACAGGTAAGATTCATACTTAGAGCTGAGAATAATGCTTTAAAGGGGTGAGCAAACCTTTTCTCAAGAGGGCCAAAATAAAAATTTTTCAAGGGCTGCAGACCAAATGCAATAATATAATACATAAAATACAAATACTTTTAAAGTAAAGTCCTTTTATTTATATTTTTTAAAGCAAGCAGCCAGTGTGTTCCTCCATGTTTTGTTTTGTTTTTTATAGCAAATGCACTTGGAAAAAGTTTGGCATACGCTCAGACAGCAAAGGCTCACGGGACATTTCATAAATTGATAAAATATGAATATTTATGGTCTTAATAAAATGTGATTTTCTACACATACCCTAAATTTAATCTGAATTTCTCTGGTAAGTACTTGTATTTCACATTTTATCTTAATATAATTCAAAGATAAAGTAAGCACCATGTGTGAAGACTACCTGCACCATAGCTCTTTATGAGGTCTTTGGGTCAAAAGTTATAATGACTAAGTGAAATCAGTGTTTTACATAGGATGATGGGGAAATTACAATATAATAACCAAGGCAACTGCTGATGGGCCAAATCAAATGGATTTTCAGGCTGATCTTGGCCCGTGGGCCTGACATTTGGCAATTGTGCTTGTGCAATGTATCTGCAATGTGCAATATTTAGTATTCTGATGGAAGACAAAGTAGTTGTACATTCAGTAAGTGGTTTGCATTACCTTACTTCTTTAGGTCTTTATTAGGATCAAATATTCTCCTCACTGCCCTCTTCCCCTCTCAATCCTGCAATTACACTCCTTATTTAATCTTTCACTCTCTTGAAATTTTTCATACATACGGATGTCTATGTCAATCCCCATCTTGGTCCACACATGCAGCCTTGCTAATATTTACTATATACACATTCACGGTGGCACTCACTTGTCAAAGTGTTGTGTCCACAAACATGGGGGAGGGGAACTTTCACAAAGCTCAAAATTATCCTCCTTTCTACTCCTGCATGTCACATGGATCCATGTTAAGCAGTTTGGTGAGTAAATGCGCAGATAATGACAAAAATCAGTGGGTCAATAAAGGATTTGCAGTTAAAATATGTTAACTTTGTGTTTGATGATGTTGTGCTGGTACATTGGATTCAATTCTAATGGAGCTTTGGAAATAGGATGTGTTCTACTTCTAACCAGTAAGCTGGACTCCAACATTCAAATGGCTGAAGCTTACTCTGAACATGATTTTATTATGAGAATAGGAAGTTTAGATTTCCAGCTGCCTTAATCACAGCTGATTACTTGTTGTTAAATACCTTGCCAGCTCTGTGCAGTTAAAATAAAACCTTTTGATCATAACTTATGAATATCACCAAAAGAACAGCAAACAGGTCAATGCTGGCTAATCAACAACACACGTCTCTCTCTCCCTCTCCCTCTCTATGCATGCAACTTGTTCTTGCTCCCATTTCTCACTGTGTGACCCACTTAGAGCCTCCCAGTTGCAAGCCAACTCTGTTTTATTATAGATTAACTCCACACAGAGAGACTGTTCAAACCTGATCTCATTTTCAGAGCTAAAAAATGTTGTAAAGGACTTTAGCATTGCTTAGATTGTTTTGTTAATTTTACGTGTTAGGCTGGTAATCAGTAAAAAAGAACAACAAAGTAGGGCCATGCTTTCACACAAGTAGAAATATGAGGTTGTAATTTTGAGTACTGGGTATGTCAATATGCTTATAAAACTGATAGTCTTCCAAGAAAGTTCTTGTTTAGTCTACAAAGCCCATCACCTGTTAAAACCTTGATTCCTTTGTCATTTTATTATTTTCTGGCATAATCAAAACAAGATGAAAATGTTTGACAGTATCGTAATGTGATTGCTTTTTACAGATGGTTCCAGGAAAGACAGCCTGAATGTCTCCAAGACCAGTGGCACATTTCTGCCTGGGGCTAGCATGGACATGATCAGCACACCCTGCAAAACATCAGCTGAGACCTGGACTCCCACCTACCCAGATGATCTTACACCTAGTGAGCCACTTCGTCCCTTTCTGATACTCAACCCTGGCCTCCTGGTCCCTCTGTATACAGACTGGAACTCTGCACTTAGCACGTGGGGATTTGCATGGGAAGCACACATCTACGGCCTGGGAGCTGTCTTCTCTCTCTTTGGCCTGACCTCTGTAGTCTGTTTGTTAGGCTTGTCCATTCGATGTCCTCCTGGGTTCCCATTTTTCACAATGCTGCACTTTTTCATCCTGAGTTTTGCTGGGATCCAAGCCTTCTGTTTGGTCTATGATGCATACAATTCTCAAGATCGTCTCCCTCCTCTGGTGACTCAGATGCTCTCTGAACTGCCATTGCCATGTTTGATATCAGCCTTCTCACTGGCTTTTCTTCTGCTCTCCTTGAACTCACGCAACCATCTTTCACTTCCTCTTGCTATTTCTACCTCATTTTCAGCCTTGCCCAAACCTTGCCTATTACTATGCATGTGTCTGTTGCATTTTTCGATCTCTCTAGGGTGCGTTGGCCTCCTTCAAGTTTTCCACAATCTTCCTACTGTGATCATTCTATTTCCTCAGGGTGTGTTTGTCTGCCTCACCGTCTTTCTCTCATGCTCCTACCTCATCTTCTACTGCTTAATATTAGTCAATTCAAAACATATTTACAGGCTGAATGACAGCAGAGAGCCTGGAGGATCCCCTGAAGCTACACGTCCTCCAGTTTGTCCTTTTTCCAAAGTAGAAGACTGGGAAAGGGCAGCAGGAGCTGGTTTAGGAAGTTCACTATGTTTGCTGGGATGTGGAGGCCTTCAGCTTTATGGGATACTGCATGTCCTTGGTTTCAGTGGGGTAGATGGGTTTGGTTTCCAGCCATGGCCCTGGTGGGGCTACCAGATAGGGTGCAGATTTTGCGAAATTGGTGTGTGTCTAAGTTTGTCTATCATCGGCACACATCCTGTTTTCTGCAAAAGTAGCTCCTCCATCAAGACCTTAACCAACCCCCGACCAGGATCTTGGTCTCGTCTGTTCTGCAGTTCCCCTTCGCGAGAGTTCAATGTCACTTCTCAAGATGGTACTAATTCTCCTGTCCTCTTCTCTCATGAGTCCTTGTCTCAGGGTAAACAGGACAAGCCGGTGGTCTGTGATGTTGTCACTAAGAGGCAGTCAGAGTTGCTTCCCCTTTGTTCAGTGGAAAACCTTCCTGCAAATGGAATAAATAGTGTCAACAAGCTCAGCCAAAACCAAAGTACTTTTCCTGTACTTACACCACCAAAACCACTGGACAAACCTAAAAACATGGCTGAGTCTCAGCAATCATCCGTGGAGAGTGCAGGTGCAGAGACTGATTCGACTGGTGACCTACGGCCTCCATCTCCCATTAACCTGTCTCGTAGTATTGACCAAGCTCTCTTCAATGACTCTTTGTTCTCTCAAAGTGTATTTGGTCCACAAACGTTGTTCCATGGGCTCTCGAGCGTTTCTTTGAGCTCTTTTAACCAAGGTACATTGAAGCAAGGACCCTGTTCAGTTGGAGATAACATTTACAGAACCTCCTCTTGTGGAAAAGTGGATCAAGAAAAAGCTGTGTCCAATTCCAGAGCTCCCCAACTCCATGGCACTTTGACATCACATAATAATCCGGCACCGGAACAACTGGATTGGAAGGGGAGCATTACTGGCTCAACCCAGGGTTTGTGCATTCACCCCAAAGAAACAGGAAAGTTGCGGTCAAATTCTTGGACAAACAGGGGACAAAACTTTGCACAAAGCAACTTGCCACGAGCAATCCCCCACCTGTCTTATCACAGGCGATACCGAACACTGAGCCTGGCCTCCCAGGACAGTCGAGGCTCCGGTCGGTTAGCAGGAACTAAACAACTAAGTGAAAGCAAGCAGCTGGAATGGGATACAGCTGTGCAAGCAGAGTTTGTTACTGTGTGCAGACAAATTGATGCGCTGAGTATTTGCAGTGATACAATTGAATTGTAAGAAGGTATAAAAGTTGAACACCGTATTCTGATCAGATTACTTATTGCAGGGATTACATCATAGAAAATATATACAAAGAGGTATTGTGTGATCTAAATAAAAGACAATTTACAATTGTAATTCAGTATGACCTAATATTTCTCTGTAAATAATGGTAAGATGTTTTTCCACCTCGTTAGGGTTCCTGGTTCAGACCCAGAGTTTAACTTTTAACATTCTGGGTTTCTGTATAAATTTTATATTGCAGAATAATTATAGTTGTTGTCAAAAAGTTATTTAAGATAAGATAATTATCATAGGACTTTACTGCTGGGGGTGTTGTTTTTAATAACCAAGAAAATGTAAACTAGTGTGTTTTCTATTGAGATTATAATTGACACCTGCTCTTTTCACATGAGATTGTTGAAAAAAATTCCATAAAAAGTACAATTCTGAATGAAAGTAATGTGTAAATACATTTTAGGAAAGTAAGACACGGTCAACGAGCATCTTGCTTGTTTGCAATAGCAACTGCTTTGTTTAGAAAGGATATTCTTAGAAAAAAAATTCTGTGAAAAGAAAAACAAATAACAAATAATGACCACTCTAAAAATGAAATGTTGGATTTACTTAACCATGTTATGTGACCTGGTTCCACTTAACTGAGTTGAGTAAATTCAAAGCAACATACTCTTGTTCTTTGGTTAAAAAACTGGTATATTGCTTTGAATTTACTTAACTCAGTTAAGTGGAACCAGGTCACATAACATGGTTAAGTAAATCCAACATTTCATTTTTTACAGTGCAGAATTGTTTTTAAACAAAATGAATTCATGATTGAAATGTAAAAAAAATGCTAGACTGTAAATACTTTAACAACCATTTAGAAGCTTCTTGCACTTTACTCCTTTCATTTTATTCATATGTTTAGTTTTTCAAAGAACTCATGTTTCAAAGTGTTTTTCAATGGTCTAAAATCAGCAGATGAGAAATAAACATTTACCTTTTTTGTCACCTGTTTTGTTAGTGCTACATCCCATAAACATAGTTATGGTTTTTATTGTAAAATAAATTATTTAAGTGTTTTTCAACATGTTTATTTCATATATTGTCAAACATTTAATTTTATAAGATTAAATTTCACATTAATACGACTACTTGTCTCTGATTATCTGTGGTGTTTTGTTTTATGCAAATGTAAAGACACTTATTATAGCAAATATTTTAATTAAAAGAAATTGGATCCAAGTATGTGTTTATCTTAGCTGTTTGCTCTGAATGATATAATCAAATATCTAAAAAAAAAAATAAAGGTAAACTAAAATGCTGAATAAAAACTTTTAAGGAAAAAAAACTTTTTCACCAAAATTGAAATGTTAAAAAGTTGATGATCTTTATTTCTAGAAATGCTGTACACAGCACACATTTAATGTCTGATCCTTCTCCTGAAAATGTTTTCTCCTCAATGCTATTTACAACAAATGCATTTAAATGTTTGTGAGTGAAAGACAATCATAATATTCATGTTTTTACAAAATGAACCTGGAAATGAACAAAATACCAAAATTGTCAACCAGACCTCGGGCTTAATGAACTGAAGTTGACAAAAGTTTTTTTAAACAACAATATATTACTTGGCCTTTACAAATTCACTAGTGCTGAATTTACTTAACCAGGTTATGTCAACGGGTTCCACTAAATCAATTTGAATAAATTTAAAGATACAGTGTGTACAACTCTTCACATTTACTGAACTTGGTTTAGTGAAACTCGTTGATATAATATGGTTAAGTAAATTCTACTCTTCATTTCTTAGAGTGTAATATCAAAGAAAGTAAAACAGAAATGTGAAAATTAATTTAGCTTCTTATTGATAATTGAAAAGGTAAATCAACTTAAAATTGAGTTGTTTTTTTAAGGGATCCCTGATTAGTTGTGACATTAGACTTTATTTAATAAACTTATATTTTAACTGTAAAAATACTGTAGGATGTTTGGTTTTTATCCTTTTTAAACTAAAAGTTTAAAAATATATTACACGGACGGGGCCATTTTATTTACACGCAAAGCATTCTGGGTAAATGATGACTTGGATAGGTCATCGGTGCGAGGCTGCTAGCGAGCTATATCCACCCTGAAGGTTAATCTTGGACAATATCTGATGATCGACTCTTTTAAATGAAACCAGAGAGCGTTGACAGAGAGGAGAAGGTAGAAATGACTCAGCCAACTGAAAATGTGGATGGAGGACAACAGAGCTGCTTCATGGAAGAACCTCAGATTAGCCTGTTAGCCAGACTTAAACTTGAACAACTAACCTGAACCAAACAACTAACCAGATCAACTCATTTTTACACTCATTAACATCTTTAATAGTCATACACATGCAAACACATCATTTCTACAAGAGAAAGTCTGTGTCATTGGTCACAAATCAACACCATGAGTGAGAGGTACTTCCTCATGTGTGAAGGTCGACTTTGTTGTGCTGCTGTGTTCATACACTTGAAGCGTTGACCCCAACTCTGAGCCATAGCGCAATCTGCTCTGAAGCCTAGGCTACTAAATGCAGAATGCACTTTATATGTATTGAAAAACAAAACAATAAATGCTAACACATTACTGTAATGCAAAAACACAATTCTAATGTTAAAAATACACTTAATGTGCCATAAATTAACATAATAAATGTTAAAATTTTAACACTAACTGTGAAAGAGAATAACACAAATTTGCTAAAAGTGCACTTATTCAGTGTCCTAAAAGAAGACCAGTGGGTGTCAAATTTTAACACTATTAAAGAGTGAATATTAACACTTTAAAAGTGTTAAATATTAACACTTTTCAAAGTATAATTTTAACTCAGAATCTGTGAGAATTATATAAACTCAGAGAAAGTGTTCAATTTAACACTCTGTGAGTTAAATTAACACTTTGGATTTTGCTGATCCATGGCATTTGAGAGCTTCCTGAATGAATGATGTACACTGATACATGTTTCTCTGTGTTTTTTTTGCACCGAACGGAAGGGAATTTCAAGTCAAGAACATTCAGTGTTGCCTTTTAAACATTTTATTTCAGAAGTGTGAACTAAGGCTGAAAAGCTTTGGTTCCTTCGGCAGCAGTGCCGCACATAAAGAAATGCAGCATCCATAAAAGTGTCAAAGAAAGGACACATACATATTATAAACAATAATTTTCTAACAAAGTAAGAAGCTATTGAGTAAATGTGTTGTAAATGTGCATTCCATGACAGAGACTATAATTCTAAAAGTTGTTGTAATTTTGACTTTTCTGAAGGTTTAAAAATGATTTGTAAGCATCTTTCTGGAAAATAAAACTAAATTTCTGTCATTACACCTTTATAGGCGAGGACAGATGACTAGACATTTTAAAAAAAATTAAATACAAATAGAAATACTTTATGCTGCTTATTAAAATTGCCTGGAAAAATAAAGTAGTAAAGTAACTTAAAAGTAAACTTTTAAGCCTTTGCTGCTGAAAAAAATCTGTTTTCTATGTGACCAATAATTCATCTGTGCTTCAGTTGCTATTTGAGTTGGAGTAAATGTTGAGTTGCAGTGGGGTCTTTCACATGCGTCCATTGCATCTGTTTGTAGCAGCCGGGGATGGGACGTTAGGTCCAGATCGTGTATTTCCTCTTGCCCCTCCTGCTTCAATAAAGTCGCTTCTTGCAACTACAGTTAGAACAGGAGAAAAATAAACATGTTTACAAGTCTTATTACTACCAAAAACAGCAGTCGTCTGTGGAGATGAGTCAATGAACGGAGACAATAACTGAATGAATGTACTCACACGGCACAAAAGAATATCTAATGAGAGCATGAACAAAGAAAGGAAAAAAGATGTTGTGATTATTATTGTCATAAAATATGCGTATTTTGTATTTAATATGTGTAATATGTTTAAGTATGGTTATCTCTTTGTTTGGTCATCATGTTCATAATAAATTTGTTTGATTAATTGATTGAAAGAGTGCGATGCTTTGAACAATTAGTAAATAACTTTCCACGTGACATAGTTTTACAAAAGATGAAAATCAACTTCACTAAATCATCACCAACAACATTTACATGAAATGGAATATATTACATTTTCATTTATTTACAGATAGCTGCTTTTTTAAGTTTGTATGTTTTTAACATTGTCTAAGTTAGGAATCCCTGGCTGCAAAAAAACCGAGATTTTGAGTTAAAAATGGTAGAACTCCTTTGTACCCAGAGTAATCATATTTTTAAATTTCAAGATTTATATTTTTAAAATTTCTTTAAACCTTTATAAATTGCTGCTTGTATGCTTTGACACTGTCTATGTATTATATGTTGTGTTGTATGTTGGAAATGCTTGGCTGGGTACTGGTACTGAACTGAACTGATTATATACTGTATATTAGGGGTGCAACAATACATGTACCCGTATCGAACAGTGCTTTAGGTTCAATACACATTTGTATCGAACAATACAGATTTTTAAAATTTACTTTATCAACATGTCTTCTGAAGATGCTCTGTGTTGAAGGATCAGTGGATCTGTGTTCGACTACTCCACCTAGGCTGCATTTTTGAGCGCAGATCCACTGAGAAACTTGCTGTTTCAGCAACATTTAATTTAAAAACTGAGGTTAAACAGATATTCATAATTAATTCAAATAAATGACAAGTTAAAAAGGGCATGGAAATTTCTCTTTTTTTGTATTGAAAAAATATCCAACCATGAGACTAAAGTATCGGATCGAACTGAATCGTGAATTTTCTGTATCGTTGCGCCCCTAATATGTATAT